TCATTAACCAACATTAACTTCTGCTGCACCTCCACCTCCACCATCTCATACTACAGTACAGTTTGGAACCTCCACGTTTCTCAACCCAACTAGGAAAACTGAGATGTCAGTTGTTTATATGGAATATAAAAATACCAGTGTGGTTTCTGAAGCCATTGTGAGTCCAGGGGTGGAGGGTGAAAACCGGGTCCAGGAAGTTTTCACTCCTCTCCTCACTGGATCTCTGTGGCCTCTTCCAACTTCCATTCAGCGGCTGAGAGAATCCAGACACAGGCAGGATAATCACTCCCTAATAAGAGGCTATATTGGAAGCAGGCTGGTGTTCGTACACTATCGGATTAAATGTCCGCACATGTACACACGGGCGGCCGGGTGCAGAGGAACACACAGATTTGGAGCAGGTGTAATTATAGTGTACGATGACACACTTCAAAAAGGATGTGATCGTACACAATGTGTACACATGTAGACAAACGTGTGGTTAAAAAAAACTAGAAAAAAAACACACGCACGCGCACACAAACACATGGCCGCACCAGCAGACCCGGATTCTTTTACCAACAGAGGGGAAAATGTTAGCAGATGGCAAAATATGGATGTCCAAGATTTCATAACATTTCACTTAAACATTTAGAAAAGACACATTTAATTTCCTGGGATTTTTTTTATATAATAAAGTGTGTCTTTTGTTTACATCAGGCGTAGAAAAGCAACTGAAACCTTCTGCGGAATTCTTTTTTTTTAATTTAAAACGCACATTTCTTTTGTATATTGGAACAGATTCCCAGGGAATGTACAGACCACGTTGGACACATCATTTGCCTTTCAATCTTAGGTTCATTAGAAGAAAATGTTTAGACCTCAATCATGACTGTTGAAGTGGAGTCTGTGCCATGTTTAAACTTCTGGACTACTGCTCCATCTGTATTACACCAATTAACAGAGTTTTTGTTGCACAGATTGCTGCAAAGTTACTCGTTTGTAAACCCTAAAAAAAACTAATTTTAAATGAATATGTTCTCTTTTCTCTTCTTATCTTATATTGTATCTTTTTTTATTGATTTGGATTTATGTTATAAAGAACTCTCATAAAAGAAACAAAAAAATGCAGTAAGTTAAAGAAAATATAAGATTCCATTACATTTCTAATATCTGGTTTGCGGGCCATTTAAGGCTCTTGGGTAGATTTCAAGTGGCCCCCAACAAAACCTCATTAGCATTAATATTTTTTGCAGATGTTCAAGGCAATTTGAATTCATTTTTAAATACATATTTAAGCTAACAAAACTATTTTGTTATTTTCTTTCACTAACTTTTATCTGTATTTATTATTTACTGTTAGCTACGCTCCTGGCCGTTCAACTCTCAGCTAGTTCTGCTGTGTCTGCTAAACTTAAGCTCGCTTTTATGTGTTTATTTAAACCGTAAAGTTTTGTAGGTTAGCTTTTTTTAGGATTTATTTACATATTAAAATGATTATTAAATTGTGCAAATTTCTCTTTGTTTTCCTGCCTCTGTGTCGACAGTCGGCCGTTAAAGACCATAATTATTCTTTTTTCATCACCTAATGTCTGAACATACACACGCTCATTACACACAGGTAACAGATTCCTCCCTTCATATTAATTTTTGATGCGTGCCTGCAGGCATTAACCACCACCACAGGCCAACTATTAGACCAAACAAACACGTCGCTTCCCGGCTTTGCTGAAAACGCGGCCAGTGTTCCACCACGGGCAGCGTCAGGAGGATGAAGATTCTCTCCTGTCTTTTGTTCATTTGAGTAACTACGAGGCGGCGGAGCAGCAGCTGCAGCCTCTCTCTCTGCCGCCGCTCAGCCGAGGAAAGGCAATAGGTTTAGCAGGCGAGGAGGCGAGGCAGATTTATGACGCTGGAGGTGACCTCTGGGGCCGTAACACAGTGATGGGTGAGTGGCTCTCAACGGTAAGCTACTGGCACTTGACAAAGTGCCCGAAGCAGAATGAATTTACTTCTCTTTTCCTCAATCATCAAGCAGCCACTGCCCTGACCCCCATCCTGACTGCTATAACAAGATCTCCCATCTCACAAGGGCCTGAAAAATTTACTGTCACATCTACTTTTCAATGAGCTCAAGTGAGCACTTCTTTCACCTTCAGCGGAGCAGGTGCCGGCGTGGAGGAGGGCTAACCTGCACACACCCTTGCATGTGTGTGTGTGCGTGTTTGTTTTATGTGTGTGTTAGAGGGAGAGAGAATTTACATGGAAAATATAAGCGGGTCCAGTCACTTCCTCCTCCCGTAACCGAGTCACCAGCAGAGATCTAAACACACACTCACACACACACAGTCTGTGTGTGTGTGTGTAGTATCTGAGGCTCCGACTCTGACACTGATCTGCTTAACCTTAATATTTAACCTGAGTACAAAAACCCAGAAATACAGTTGGGCTGCAGCAGTACCCATGATGACCACTGATCCCAACAAGGTCAGTGCCTTTACTGGAGACAGTCTGCAGCACTGACAAAGTCTATATAGACCCAGGATGGAGCTGCCAGACAGGGACACAAAGGGCACTTGTTTACGGATGTCAGTCGACATCTCTGCCATTTATATTAGAAATCAATCTACCCTATCACATCCCTCAAACACACACACACAGACACACATACGGGGCTGTGCACACACACACGAGCATTATAAAGTCTGTCTGGGTTTTTGCCAGCTTTCATCAGCTCGGTGGCAGCAGAGTTGAACTTAATGATCCTGATATTTTTATGTGCAGGTGATAAATCGTGGCACATCAGACTTTCAGATTTGATCTTTTTGTCTGTAGTTTTGAGGTGAAAGTACAGTGAGTGTGACAGTGTGGGGAGAGTAGAACTGATATTACACACACTCCCTGAAATGCACAAATCATCAGCAATTTTAAAGTCTAAATAGACTTAAAGGCCACATGGCATAAAACAAATGTAAAACACCATAAAGAAATATAATCTAGGGGATCAAAATGAACGGAACGTGTAAAAACTCAGTATTTGCGTGTGTCTCATGGTGTAAGCAGGTGTTAAACTAGATTTGAAAAAAAAAAAATTCAAATTTCAATTACAAAATAGTGAATATTTTTGTGGTAATCCTAATAAAAAAAGATCTTTTTAGACTTTGTTTTCATTTGTAACTGAGAATTCAGACCAAATTATTAACAGTGCCTTTGACAGTTTCAATCTCAGTGGGTTGACCTGAAGGGGGCAGTAAAGAAGATA